ATGTAAAAATTACCATCAACTTTTCTTTTGGTCAACAGGGTGAGAAAATGGACAAAACTACCCTTTACTTTAAAATAAATTTTAAAAAAAAATCTAGAAGTAACAAATAAGACATACGAAGTGTTCAGTCTGAAAGAATGCGTCTTCTTCTCAACGGAAACAGTTGTTTAAAATTGGAACGTGAAAGATGTGCAAACATTGGTCTATATATCGTTGTCTCAGAACTATTTGTCCAAAGTGTACTTAAATAAAGAGGCACTATGGGCAATAAAGGTCTGAGGCGACGATATATAGACTGGAAATGCACTTTTCAGAACAATACATTTTTAACCTTCTCAACATGGGAGTGAGGATCAAATATCAAAAGAAATACAATACTCTATAAGCATTATCTCAGCCAGGAGAATTTAAGATGCATTCATGTTGGGTTTCCCATACAGAGTTACTTTTTCTTTCATCTATCAGGACAAAGACATTACATGTGTTCTCAGGACAATTTGAAAACCACACAGTTGCATCAGAATAAGAATATAAGAGGTTTATATGGTCAGCGTCGCCGATAACCTTTTACCGCAATACTTATAATCATCATTATAATAATCGCATTTATATAGCTCTTATTTGTGCTCTGCAGCATGCTCTATGCGTTTAGCAAACTTCATCTCAGTTACCATCCAGTGAACATAACGAGCAAAAGTCAAAAAAGAGGAAAATAAACCGAGAGAAGCACCGAACCCGCGAAATAAAATAACAAGACCCTACCACACCCACAAAAATTATTAACATCAATTTCAGTTTCAAAAGAAATCTTGTAATTAATAATTAACATAGATCTACCCCTGAAGACAGGGAAAACAGCTTAATGGGCTTGGGTGGGGTGGTATTAGAGCATCACCAACACAAATAGTAACCTTGTCACCTTTCTTTGATTCTTTCGTCAAACTTTCCTCTAACCACACAAATCTAAATTTGTTTTTGATTTTCAAATCAATTTCTTTTATTCTGAGAACGTCCAATTTTGTCACTTCCTTCATGATGAATGCTTTCACGAGGGCTCATGCACCTGAAATGGTGTTAATCAAGTTATAATAGGCCCCACACTAGCACCGCAGTCTCTAGCAGTTTCATGAAGAGGGAAGCGCCATGAAATTCGAGTAAGGCATACACTGGCTGATTGCGGGGCCCGATCGCTAGGCATTGTATTGTTGATAAGCGGAGGATAATTTGCGAGAACCACGCGACTCACGGAAAGGAGAAACTGGGAGGGAAAAAGCGGAGAAGACTGAAAACCCCGGATTTCCAGGGATGCCTGTTCCGGGGATCGGCGGAAGATTAAAATGATCACTGACCATCTCAATGATAAAATATTTCAGTACTGCCTGTTGTTCTCCATATAAGTCTAATAAATTCGCAAGTACCAATACATTACACTCAATAAACATTATCCTGATGACCGAAGACAAGCAAACATCTTTCTCAGCACCATTGGAGGTTTGAGCTCAGCTCTCAAGCTGTAAATTATAACCCTGCTACTTTCTCAAGCATTCACACTACTTTTGATAACATCAAAAACGTGCGAAAACATTTCATCAAATCTGTAATCTTAACTAATAAGTAAGTCACACACACACACATGCCCACACACACACACACACACGCATGTGCACGCACGCACACACACACACACACACACCCACACACACACACAGACTTTTAACAACGCAAACAAAAAACCCCATTAAGTCTATTGATACAAAAATACGCAATACAACCGCAGGTTCATGAACACAAAGCAAACCAAAAAAAATAATACAGCCATTAAAAGATGTGTGAAACAAGACAGACTCAGCAAAAATTGATCACTTAGTCAAGGAAAGAATCTGGACCCAAACATCTTTAAGAGTACAATTATTGGTACTGTAAATATGGTATCAGTTTAACATCTACCTATTAACTCATTACGATATCTCATGAAAATTTCAAATGAATAAAAAAAAAGATAATATGACAAAGCAGGGCACTCTCTTGATACGTCAAACTCGACAGTCCAGTGAAAAATCTCTGCACAACTTCCATACTTATAGTTAAAGCTGTCAAGCAGGGCAAAAAGAGTGAATGTAAAACTTATTGGTACAGTACAGCAAAATTCACTTTGCCAAATGACCCTCGCCTCTAAGTACAAAAAAATCAATGGTAACTTACAACATTACAAAAATTATGACACACACATTTCTTTTTTATTCCTGAAGGCACTTAAGAACATAGCTAACAAACAACACAGACAAAACAAAAGGAGACAAAAGTGAAGCAACAAAAACAATGAATTCGATTCACCTCCTAACACTCATAATGAACACGCTCAAAAAAAAAAGTGTAAAAGTAAAAAAAAAAAAACCCCAAAACCCCTATGACCAGTGAACATTTACATTCTGCACCGATATCTTAAATCATATTTCACTAGCACTTTGCTTACCAAAAAAATTTTTTTTTCAAAATTAAAACAGAAAGTTGATTGGTTATGAAAAAAAGGTACTTTTGATGCTGATGGAAGGATGCGAGTGATTAAAATGAAAATTAAGAAACAGATAATTGTTTTGCAAAGTGAAAAAAAGACATATATCACAAAGACAGCTACAGTATGATGATAACAAATGGAGCATATTGTCACACTCCACCATTTAAATACTTTCATTTCCTTATTTCTGATGCCCTAAATTAGTCAATGTCAAGTGTTAAATCCCAAAGTCATGTGCTGACCACAGAGCAAACTTTTCACTACTTCCAACAAAAGAAGTCACTAATCAGAGACAAGTTTGTTAGTGGTCGGCGGGTGCTCTGGTGTGGTTTGCTCCTTCTTTCCTGTCAAACACCTATCATCCTTATCTCTCCTTCCTTTTTGGGTATTAACTTTTTTGGAACACATCTATTCTTTGGCACTTATTGTGTTGCAAGTGCTGTGAAACTAAAAAAACTAGAGACAAGTTTACAACTTTTTATCCAAGTTACTGTTTGTGAATGAATGAATGAACATGTTTAAAGCCCTGAACGATACAATCTAGACAAATTGAGAGGTGGGCTGATTTACCCTATCTGAAAGGGCCAACCCCCACTGAATATGATCCAGTATCCTGTCTGAAGGACAGACAACAATCATAAAAACAAACATCCTTACAAAGGGACTTGAATTAAAGACTTTTGAAAGCAAGGTGAAAAGCTTATCCTTTACATCACAGATGAAGGTTTCCCTTCTCAGGAAGACTAAATTGGCATTGGCAAAACAAATCAGTCTCCTGCTTGTCATTGTCACTTTGCACTTTCAGCAGGCAATTTACCTTATTTGTGACAGGAATGAGTTTACTTAAACTTAACTGAAATTCTCAAAGTAATGGTATTTAAAAAAATACACATTCACTCTTGCACACCTGCTGTCTTCTTGCACCAGAGTGCTGAAACACATTTTTATAAAACACTTGTAAATGTGTAGAGGAATAGAAAGGGTTAGGGGGCTCTCGTGGACTAGAGGTTAAGGAGTTCGCCTCTCATTCAATAGGTCCCCGGTTGGAATCTGGATAGCAACGGAAAATTTTCTGCTTTCACATCCTTTCCTGCTCTCCAACAATATTCTGTCAATACCTTTCGTTTCCACATTCTTCCTCCACTCCCTCACCTCCTTTGCCCCCTCCCCTGGGCTCCTGACTCTTGTCTGAAGCCTTTCTACTGCTTCTCTTTGTCTCCTTCTTACTGCTGTCTTTCAGCCACATCCCCTGATCTTATGGTAAGTAAAATCTACACCTAGCTTTCTCGGACAAGGGTAAAAAAGGTCTCGTAAGCAAGTAGCGCACGTTAAAGATCCCCAGAGAGACCAAAATCGATAAAAGTAGGCTTCCGCTGCCAACTGAGCAAAATAAAAAATTTAATACCAACTGAAAATGTTCTGTGTGTCCCACGGCTCATATGACCTTATGCAGTTGCGGGCGTCGTAAAAACTTACCAAAAAACCCCCGAAACAAACAACAAATAAAATGGGTTACAAGAAGCACGATCCAACAAGACAGATCGATGAAATCAAGCAGTGACACATGCATACAATTTTTTTAATCCAAAGGGCAAATTGGGGAAACTAAGTCCCTTTTACAAAGATGACTGGATTTAAAAAATAAGAACTGGTCCATCTTCCTTTTCCCCCCACAGAGACACAAGAACTCTTGTTTGCAAAACATATTTCAGAATTTGATTTCTTCTTCCCAAATAATATCACGTTGTACAGCCATTCCCCTAGTCTGTTAAAAAAACAAATGGAAAAACAACAGTTTACACTCAAACTGAATTAAAAGCAAGGTTTTTTTCCTTATTGTACAACGCAGGAAAAGCCTTGGTAGTAATCTGGGGAAAAGAGCCTTGGTAGTAATCTGAGAACCCCCCCCCCCCCCTCCCCCATCTTTTTCAAACTTGGACATTCAGAGCAAAAATTCCCCCTAGAGTTTAACATAAAATCAAATCCAATCCATCTTTAAGTCTCCCACAAAATGATGCAACAACACAAATGTCTAATCCACTTTGCATAACATAGAAAATCTATTTGAAAGAAGGACTGACAGTAAAAAATAAGACTTTAAAAACAATAAAGTAACATAATAATAATAATAATAATAATAATAATAATAATAATAATAATAAGATAAATAAATATGAGATTAACAATCACACATATAAACAATATCATAAAATATTTTTTCAATATGCACCTTTGAGGAGGAAATCCATGACAGCAGAAAGACACTTTTTTACCTCTTGTAAAATCACTACGTCACAGCAAATTGTCTCCATTTCTCAGTTCACCCATGTAATGAGTAATGACCCACATAATATGTAAAAACCCATCCCTTCCTACCCAATCATCATTAATTGACTTGTCAGCTGAAAACAAAACAAACAAGCTACATTTTTCAGAATGGTCAGGCCTCATTCATTATTTTCCCATCACGTAAAAGACCACCCCCAAAATAGACAAACGTCCCATCTGCTTATCCCTTTAGTCATCTGCCCAACCAAACTGATCGCAGCACACCTCAAAATATTTATCTTGATCCACCCGATGATAAAAACACACAGAATTTGAAAAACTCAGAATCACAGCAGAGATTTGACGGTACCTGAACGGTTTCCCTAAGACACGGGTGGTTACACACCTTGTTAGTCTCTATTGTAAACACAAGCACAGATCTCCCCTCCCTCTTAACACTGTTACCGACCTGAGAAATTATAAACATAACCTTTCAATTTAAACCACCCTCAAAAATATTCTTACGGACCAACCCATCAATTTATATATATAAAAGCAAAACTTGAATTCAGTATGAAGGAGGCGCTTATTATTCAAACTTCTTAAAACGCAAGCAGCTGGCAATGAAGAATGCTTGTTTCCCTGAATGGGAAGACCTGTAACCTTCTCCTCTCCCCCCCCCCCCCCCCACCCACTTCCCTCCCCTTAAGTGCCTGTTTCTTCCTCTCTACCAGTACATATTATTAATCAGAGAGGCACCAAACAAACCCTCCCCTATTTCTGGCTCTCACTGGCACCCCTGACGAGGTCCTCTACACCTCACATCTCTGTCTACATAAGAGAAATCCAGTGTGACCTGACGCGGTGATCATCCGAACAACTTGACAAAACACGGGTGGCAGTACGGCTTGTCATTCTGTTCCTTGAACGTGCCCTTGTTCAGCTGCTTCAGGCAGAAGGCACAGACAAAATGTTCCGGGTGGAATTTCTTGAACATGGCGGTGATGCAGCGGCCCGTGATGGGCTTCTCGCAGCTGGCACACAGCGAGCCCTTCTTGGCGTGGTAGTGCGTCTCGCAGTACGGGAGGCCCTCGTAGTCAAAGAAACTCCCTGAGCCAAAGGTTGCTCGACACTCCTGTTTACAGGGAGAGAGTACAGTCTGAGTTTGGGTATTTCAAACTATCGGAGGTATCCTTGTTTCTTATGAGAGATCACTGTCTAAGTGTGGGTATTTCAACACTATTAAGTAATAATTAAACATATTCTTATTTGTAATGAAAAACTACAGTATGAGTTTGGGTATTACAGCCCTAACAGGAGTATACGTATTGCAGTTACAATGAGATATTACAGTGAGAGTTTGGATATTACTGCACTGTCAAGAGTATTGGTTCAGGGAAGGGACATGAAACAAATGGAGAGAAAGCCAAGCCAAACAAGTGTTACAGGCCAGCTGTTACCAAAAGTTCCCCTCCAAAGTTCTAGCCACGTCTCAGATTTTCATTTGAATAAAGAGAACAATAATAACACAATCATTGCTATTTAAAGAAAGGAACAGGTAGGGCTGATAGACTGAAACAAAAAAAAGTGGCAGAATTTGAACAATTCCCATGGCACCCTCCAACCATCCAATTTATTGCATTGACAGATGATGATGATGATAATGACCATCTTCAAGATGAAGATGGAGAGAACAAAAAGAGTTTAAAAAAAAAAAGAAAATGAGCAGAGAGAGAAATCAACGGCATCTCACCCAGCATACAAAACACTCAGTGTGCCACTGTCGGTTCAGCGCAGAGATGTAGTTCTCCATGATGGGCTGTGCACAGCCGCCACACTTTGGCGCAAACATCTGGAAGTAGTCATCCCTGGGTGGGGGTGGAGAGAGAAAAATATATATATTTGAGTCAGTCCAGGCTATTGACAAGATGTCCGATCTATGATGTCAATACATACGTCATGGCGCAGTGGCATCAGGCACTCCTCAATTGAAGGGAGGAGGAGGAGGAGGAAAGAAGAAGAAGAAGAAGAAGAAGAAGAAGAAGAAGAAGAAGAAGAAGAAGAAACAAGCAGCTGCTGGGTAACTAACAACAACAATAACCACAACAAATTGTCTGCCAGCTGTTCAGATATGTACCGAGCCCCAATTTTTCACATTTCTTAAAACTGCCATTTCTTATTCTGTGGTATTGGTAGTATGTGCTAGAGGAATATTTACTGGAAATTTAATTTCAAAATGTTGAAAAGAGCAAGAAAATATAAAAAATGTGAGGTGCAATTTTTAAAACATGGAAAGTTTTTTTCTCTCCTGACAAATTGTTCTTCCTGGTTTCTGGGCTTTCAACAGTTGAAATCTTGCTGTTGAACTGCAACAAGAATAACAACAACAACAGCTACAACATTAAGAACAACAGCAACGACAACAACAACAGCTACAACAACAACAGCAAAAACAACAACAGCAACAACAATAACAACTTACTTGCAGTAAGCTTTCCCGTTCTTCTCGTGGAAATCCTCCTCCCCAAACAGTCGGCCGCACTGCGCACAGAAGAAATGCTCCGGATGCCACATCTTCTCCAGTGCTGTGATACATTTCTGAAAGATACATAGATCAGAAGGTGAGCTGTGGTTATCATCATGACCAGAACTATCATCATCATCATCATCATCATTTTCATCATCCTTATCATTATCCCCTTCATCATCACCATCATCATCATGATTATCACCATCATCGTCAACACCTTCATCATCATAATCATCATCAATTTCCAAACAATTTTCCTGTTTCCATTTTTTTTGTTTTGCTCAAAGCAAGTCATGTCGACACATTCTCTATGAAACTTGCAAATATCTGACCCCAAATCAGGACAAAAGACAAAAAAAGAAAAGAAACATAAATAAAAATAAAAGTAAAAACAGAATCTTTGAAACGAAGAAAAGACAATGTTCTTTTAATACAGAAAAAAATCAAGAGGTGAGATAAAATGAGCTAAAGAAAAAATTGATGTCTACTGTTTAAAACAACCTTTGAAGTTTTTTTTTATTGCAGTCAAGTAGATATTTGAACCAGACTCATTTGTATTGTCGCACTGCAGATCAACAGAGCTAACAAGCTGCTGATGAGTCAAAGATTTTACATTTTACGGTCACTTGGCGCCGGTGGCCTAGTGGTTAGGCTCTCGGACTCGCAACCGTAAGGTCGTGGGTTCGAATCCCATCAGGGGCTCGACGTTGTGTCCTTGGGAAAGGCACTTTACACGAATTTTCCTCACTTCACCCAGGTGGGAATGGGTACCCGGCTATAGACAGCGAAAGATCTTGTCAGTTTGTTAGTGTTTGAGCGCTTAATCAGCTGCTTGCACTGTATGTTTCCCGGGAAGCTGAGAATGTTTTGGAGTGTTCTATGGTCTGCTGGGGTAATAATATAGTGTAAAGCGCATAGAGCTTGCTGTTGAGCGGGGATATGCGCTATACAAATGCTATTTATTATTATAAAAATGGGACAGTGAAAATTATCCGTTCCGGCGCCAGGCCCGACAAGTCTGTTGCAGTCGCTCTCCTGGCTGGGTGACCAGATGGAGTAATTTGTGCTGCTGGCTGTGTGACTGCAAAGTGTTAAGTACAGCCCGGCACGTATAACACAGGAACTGACAAATGTGTTCCTCACATCAATAATTCCGGTTAACCAATACAGCAAAATGTGAAAGAGATATCAGTCAGTCGGGGAAAGGCAAATTGTACAAGCTATTGGTGATTTTGAGTTTTACGTGTTCATGTTATCTCTGCATGACTGTAGCTGTGGACAGCATACCCAACAATCACACCAACAAACATTGGAACCGATACAATAAAGGTCAACACATACTCTAAAATTTGGCAGTCAATATTTCATATCAATACACCACACTGAGGGGTAGCTTTTTTTTTCTTCTTTAAGGCTCAGATATGAAACATATCAGCACACTCTTTTTGCCCAGAAACTGTAACCCTGGTCTTTACCCATCACCCGTCTGTTCCAGTTTCTCTATACAAGTTATTCTTGGCCTCCTTCTGCCTCTTCAGTCTTTCATTTTTCCAGTGGGCTTAATAATATAAAACTATTGTTTAACCCTTTGAGCCGTTGCCACCGGTACATCAGTGGCGTGTAAAATTGCCTGTATGCCTCGCACCGATACACTGGTGAGCGCCACCCTATCCCCAACCCGGTACATCAGATACAAAACGCACACGGAAAACAATGTTTACTATTCAGAATGTTACTGATTATTTTCTAAATTAAATGCTGATAATGACGAGGACTAACACAAACCTGAGTGGGACATGAAAAGTAATTCTGAAGATCTTACAAAAATTAGTTATATATCGCTCTGGAGCTCAGACAGAGGGGCGCGGCAGCCTCAGGAGGTCAGGGCTCAAAGGGTTACAGCTCAGAAATCAAACATAACAATTACAGTTCAACACACATCTTTTGGCTCATACACTGTAACACTAAGTATCCTGGTATTTACCCTTAACCCATCTGTTCCAATTTTTCTACACAAGCTAGTTTTGGTCTCCCTCTTTAGCCTTCTATTTTTCCTCCAGTGAGAGCAAGATGATCAAGGCCTTTGCTCTGGGGCTAAATCATAAAAAACACTTTTTAAAACCAGACAAGGACAAAACAGATGCTCTCCTCACATCGACAATGGGTCCGTTGCAGTAGGCACAGCGGGGGGCAAACAGGTGGTGGTAGTCTGTCTCACAGTAGGCCAGCGAGTCACGCTCGTAGAAGTTACGCGTGCCCAGTGGCTCCTCACAGTGAGCGCACACAAAGTGTTCTACATGCCACGTACGGCCCAGGGCAGCTATCACCTGTGGAGGGAGATCATAAAGAGAACAATAATAAATCTGTGCGGCCAGTAGCCAGTAATTGTCTTTGTGAGTATGTGTTCTTTGTCAGATTACAGGTGTATAATGTACGTGCATTTGAAAGAATTGATGTATGTTGAATGGGCAAGTATTCATGAAACATTAATTTAAATCTTATTCTATTGTGAAGCACTTAGAGCGACCAGAAAGCTGGCGCTATAGAGTAGATCTTTATTAATATCTGTAATGATACATTACTTTTATTGTGTACACTCTCATAGTAAAGCTCTATGAGCTTTATATAACGATTTCAGCATGACACAAAATTCATGTTCATACGAAAATAGTCTATTTAGATTTTTGTTTTTTGTTTGAGTAAAGAGAAGCAGATTAACACAATAATGATTATTTAATACTGGGAAAAAGTAAGACAAACAGACAGAAACAATAGAGAGAAAGTTAAGCAGTAGGACCTACCCGTGGCACCCTCCAACCACCCGCAGTCTCTTTAGATTGACGAAGTCAGATAAACGATCATTCATACTATCACAGCTCAATCGATGACGTAATGCACATCACATTATGAATATTATAGTACTATGAATAAGACAGAGTAACTATAAAGACAGCATTTTATGAAACATATTTGGAAGAAATGAAGAAGAAAAGGACGGAAGAAAAAAAATTATGCATAAAAGAAAGAAAGAAAGAAAGAAAGAAAGAAAGAAGGACAGAAAGATAAAAACAAGAAAAAATAACTTGAAATAGAAGAACCAAATAGAAAAAAAGAGAAACTTCCGGAAGCCAGTTTCCCACAGACCTGTCCCACGATGGGCTTGTTGCAAGCCGCACAGACTCCCTTCTGTTTGATGTTCACACCCTGGCGGTTCATGTCCGACTGAAGATCTCCCAGCATGCTCTCTAGCTGGCCATTCTGGAGAAGTTGAGTTTGAGCAAAACATCGTCATTAGTGCTGGAGAAAAGTACGCCGGACACAAAGACAGAAGGAACAGAGATTCAGTTTCAGTTTGCTAAAAGTTTTACGGAGCTCGCAGCTACTAAAGGTCATATGAGCAAAGGTTTAAGAAGAGCTTTATGGCACTTGAAACACAAAGCGGTCATATAGGTACCAAGTCGTCGCTAGAGAGTAACATACAAAGGAAAGAAAGAGTAGAAATAAAGACGATAGATGTTTGACAGAGCAGAAGGAAAGGAATGAAGAAGGGTTTACAACTGGCATCATCCACCCACCAACTCTGCACAGGGGTTCAGGACACAAATGTTGAAGGAATCACATAAAATGGGCTCAGTTTGGGTTGCTACCTCAGAAATGCAAAGTTCTATTTGCCATTTTTTGCCATTTTGAGTTACTAAGAAACCAATGTTTTATCTGCTTTATCAAAATCAGAAGATTATTCAGAGTCGCTGTCAAGACATTTAAACAACTGTATTCGAAAACGCATAACAATAATGTGAAACTCAAAATTTTTCTAGTCAAATTTGTCAAAACTAAGCGCTGAGCAGTTGGAACTGATTAATTCAGGTGTAGTGAACTGTTGATCTACCAGGACGTCGTTTTCTACGATGTTTCATGCCTAAACCAACCTGCTGAGGTACTTGCTGCTGCTGCTGCTGTTGTTGATGTTGTTGCTGCTGTTGCTGCTGCTGTTGCTGCTGCATCATCTGACTCTGGGGGTGTGGGTGTGGGCTGGTGGGACTGGCACTGGATACGGAGCGGCTCTTGACAGGCTTGGCGTAGGCGGGCTCCCCGTCGTTGTCCGCCGCTGAGCTCCCGTCCTGTTTGTTCTGCAACTGTAGGAGGAAGAGCCCCAGCTGAAAGCATTAGCCGTGACGGGGACGAGGGAACGGGGGGAACAGCCCCCAGAGCTCAACATTACAACCTGCAAGGATTCCCGATACCAGTCAAAGACAAAACAGGAAATGGGGTGCCTCGGGGTATAAAAAAAACAACTGATCCTCTCTCGGAACAACTTCCAGTTTTACAAGCCCAGCAACTGTTGTTCATTAGTCGATGTTAATTCAAGTGTGCACATAATATTTACAGGATTACTATAGTGGCTAGCATTTTTGGGAAAACAAAATGGACAAAAATAACAATATGGACGGAAATCACTCTAGGTTGTAACTATATTTATATATATATTTAAGTAAACAAAGGGCATTCGAGGGAGAGAGAGAGAGAGAGAGAGAGAGAGAGAGAGAGAGAGAGAGAGAGAGAGGAAAGAGAGAGAGAGAGAGAGAGAGGAAAGAGAGAGAGAGAGAGAGAGAGAGAGAGAGAGAGAGACAGAGAGAGAGAGAGAGAAAGAGAGAGAAGACAGAAAGAAAGAGAGACAGAGAGACACAGACATCAACAGAAACAAAAACATAATTGTATAATACAGGAGAGAGAACATGCAAAAGAGAAAGAGAGAGAAAGAGAAAGAGAGAGAGAGAGAGAGAGGGGGGGGGAGAGAGGGAGAGAGAGAGAGAGAGAGAGAGAGAGAGAGAGAGAGAGAGAGAGAGAGAAAGAGAAAGAGAGAGAGAGATACATAATAAGTGCTAGATCTGAAACAGTCATAGGCAATCAGGGCTCATCACTCATTACTCTGAGCAGATTTAGAGAAATTATCTTTAGGTCAGAACACAACGTTTTATGTAACTGTTGTACCGATATTGTAAAGTGCTCAAAGCCTGTGTATTTTAATCGGGGTTGAGCACTATATGGTCACATTTAAGCATAAGGGGGCTATCCCAAAAAATTACGTTTTGAGAAAATCAAAGATAAAGTTTTTGCTCCTTGTTCAGTTTCCTTAAAAGACAATGAGAATTTTCTCTATAACCAAACAATATACACACCAATGAAACCAAACCTCTCCTATTGATAAGGCAATGCCCACTTTTGGTGTAGGTCAAGATTTCTTGAAACCCCCGAAATCTGGGTTAGCCCGCTAGTCCTCATAAGCGACAATATAAATGTCATTTATTATTATTATTATTATTATTATTATTATTAGCAGGTGCTCTTCGAAACGCAAGAACAATACACGCTATTGATGTGGGCCAACCTTGAACTCTGAGAGTGACATCATCAGCTCGTCCAGCTCCTTGGTGGCCGTGGAGGCCGTCTGAGCCTGCTGGTAGGAGGAGGAGGAGGAGGCTGAGGAGGAAGAAGGCGCGCCCACGTAGCCCGCCTGCTGGGAATGGTTGATGCTCACTGTGGAGAGCTCCTGGTAGTGGGGGTCCACGGGGAACCTGAACAGAAAAAACACACATGTGTTTTAAAAAGGGTATGTTTTGTTGTAATACGAATTTTAAGGCACTTGCAACACAATTAGGTCATTTAAGTGCCAAAAAGAGGAAGTGTTACACGAGAATAGCAAACACACACACAAAGAGTAAGAAAGATAGATGTTTGAGGAGAAAAGAGGAGCAAACCAGTAATTTTAAGTTTAGTTTTAGTAACAGTCTTACGGCCACTTGCAGCACAATTTGGTCACATAAGTGAGAAACTTAGAAGTGTTACAACAAAGTAACAAACACACACACAAAAAAAGAAGAAAACATAAATAAGGATGATAGATGAGTGATAAGACAGAGGGAGAAAACCATACCAGAGCACCTGCCAACTACCCACAAAAAGCTTTGACTTAATTTGGGTGTGAGTTAAGTTGTCTTTACACATTGACACAATAGCCGCACATTTGATTTAGCTTTGACTTGATTCTTGTTTGAATACAGAGAAAGAATGCAACAACACAATAACAGCCATTAATAGCTGGTTAAAAAAAGACACCCCAACAGATAGAGACAAGACATGGACTCAAACACACTATATGATTCGAACCATGGCAAATCTACTCTAAAATTGACTTCAGCGCTGACACCCTCAAAAATTTGTTGAATGTGTTTGATTTTATTGCTTACTGGTTGGTAGTTATGTATGCAATACAGACATTTCACCAGAAACAATGACGGAAACGACAATGTTAACAGAAAAAGACATTCAAGTTGCAAACCACATACCCAACTTTCCAACAACTATCTTCTTCTTTTATGTTTCAATTTCAGCACAGAGCTAGAGAATCACATTGACACAATAACAGTCCTTTAGTGCTGAGAACGAGCAAGAGAGACAAACAAAATACAATTCAGTAACAATTGAAAGAAAAAGAAGTACGATCAACTAAGTTAAAGTCAGCTCCTCACTACACACCAAAATCTGAGGAGCTGATCAAGAAATAAATTCCATATGAACACCATAATATACAGGTACATGTACATGATATATTTCCAAAAGGAGAAGAAGAAGAAGAAAAAGAAGAAGAAAAGAAGGAGAAGAAGAAAAGAAGTAGACGAAGGAGGAGGAGGAGGAAAAAAAAAGAAAGAAAGAAAGAAGAAGAAGAAGAAGAAGAAGAAGAAGAAGAAGAAGAAGAAGAAGAAGAACAACAACAACAACAACAACAACAACAACAACAACAGCAACAGCAACAAAACCAACAACAACACTCAATCCGCACTCACTTTCCAGGCGGGGGCCCCGTGCCCTCTAGCTCATCCAGCAAGTTGTCCACAGAGGTCCTCTGTCCTGGCCTGGTCAAGGCCGGCTTGGGCGCCACGGGCGGGGGAGGCTGCCTGTTACCGTCCACACCATTCACAGCTGGCCCATCGTTCACTGTAACAAAAGAAATAACAACCCAATAATAACAATAATAATAACCATGATAATAATATATAATAAAAATAATAACGGCAATGAAATAATAATGATAATAATAATAATTTATAATAATAACAACAACAATAATAATGACGACGACGACAATAATAATAATAATAATAATAAAAGCCTAATCGCTAGGCCACCACAACCACCAAAAATAATGACACATAACAGTCAAGACAAAGTTTGTTTGAGTACCACATTATTATGTTTTAAGGCATGAAACAATGTATTATAGTCACGTCTACTCTAAGCTATCTCTCACACGACCCGACCCGACCCGACCCGACCCCATCCGCAATGGGCACCTGGTATTATGCGCGACTTGCAATTCACAGAAGAGAGATAGAGGCAAATCTTAATGTCAAGATGGACAATGAAGTACAAAGTTCGTCAGATGGCAGTTCTGCGAGCCGCTGACATTTTTGATTCCGTACATGGCCAATCCCGTGAACGTCCTCCTCTTCCTCCTCCTCCTCCTCCTCCATCTTCTTCTTCTCCTCCTCCTCCTCCTGCTGTCCGTTAAAAAAACAAAAACAATAAAATTAGATTCTTAAAACTTGGATTGGGTCGAATGAGAAGATGAGCGTAGGGAGACAAGCTCTAAGAGGACGGGCGATTGTGATGTAGTGATTAGACGTTAGTTTTAGTTTTTAGTAAGGTTTTACGACGCTCGCAACTGCATAAAGATGGTCATATGAGCGCAAAGGGGTGGATGTCAACAGAGAAGTCCATACAGGGAATCAGGTTTACTCTGCTTACCTCTCTAGCTTCAACCGCACAAAGTTTGCTTCGACTATCTATCAAGGCACCCCGACAATTGCGGGTCACAAGAGTGTGACAAACATACAAAGAAGTAGAGGAAAAATGACAAAAGTAAGGATTAGAAAGAAAAAGCAGCAGTTCCCAGTTACAGTTCAGGCACAGTTATATGAGCGTGACATTGTTGAATCAGCCCATTAACACTTTACAATTCTACTGTGCATAAGAACAAGTTAATGTCCCCTTTGGGAATGGCCTAAAGACACTTCAGTCAGTGGTACCGCCCCGGGCGGTTTTTTTTTTTGGGGGGGGGGGGGGGGTAGACGATTTAGTTTTAGTAGGTGTTTTACAGCACTTGCAAAACAATAAGGTCACATAAGTGCCGAACATTAGAGGAGTTACAAGAGAGTAACAAACACAAAAAAGAAGGAGGGGAGACAGAGACGACAGATTTTTTTATAGGAAAGAAGGAGCAAACCACACCAGAGCACCCGCCAACCACCCACAGTTAGACGTTTTTCTGACACACTCACAGAGACCTTAGTTCAATTGCCGAGTATGAAAATGGTCATTTGTTAGTTTGTTTGAGTAAGGAGAAACACGTCGACATATTAAGGGCCATTTACAGCAAGAAAAAAATTAATATAGGACAGATATATTTAAACAAGAGAAGGAAAAAAGTTTTGTTGACCTGTTTGTTTGTTTGTTTGATCAAAGTCACAACAGCCATTTACAGCAGGTAGCAAACAAAAACGATAAAAACAAATAGTACACACACATACACTGGATAGATTGCACACACAGACACCACACAAACCCAAACACACACACACACACACACACACACACACACACACACACACAGACAGACACACATACACACACACATACACACACACACACACACACACACAAGATTAGCCCTTAAACCGTATGCTCGCACAGAGCATTTACTAACAAAGAAAGATGAGCACAAAAAAAAGAAAAACAAACACAAACAAACTAACCAAAAGAAAAAGAAAACTAACAAACCTACGCCATTATAGCGAAAGAGTGACGTCAGAAGGAAATAACAAAACACCTCCAGGTGAGAGTGGGATGTACACATGAATGTACCACAGGCGGGGGCGGGGAGGGCAAAACTCGTAGGCCGTGTCCACATATGGTACCGATTTATCCCCACGCCCCCTTAAACGTTGGGGCCGGGCCATCCTACGTGAAGAGGTACACAGAACATCAGCAGGGCCGATAGGCTGATAGCTGAGCTGGTACCTTGATGGTCCGAGGTGCAGACTGCACTGGTTCGAATCTATAATTTCGTGACCACCGTGAGAGCAACCATAATATTATATTGCTACCGTGATGGACTTAACGGTGCGACAGCACTGGTTTGAATCTACAATACCGTGAACACCGTGCAAGCATCTCTATATATTATGACATTTAATAATAACCTTGAAGTCAACGGATGTCCTAATTTGAATCAGTTTCAGCTTCAGTTTGAGTAAAGAGACGAACATAGGCGCGCGCGCGCACACACACACACACACACACACACACACACACACACACACACACACACACGCACACACACACACGTACACAAGCGTAACCGCACGCGCTGACATAGACAAATAGACAGAGAGACAGAGATATGTAGACAGATAGATAGACAGATAGATAGATAGATAGATAGATAGATAGATAGATAGATAGATAGATAGATAGATAGATAGGTAGATAGATAGAGAGAGAGGGGGGGGGGGTAGAAAAAAGAAAAGTTGGGCCCCATCAACGGCACAACTACTCCCCCCTTCCTCCCCCCCCCTCTCTCTCTCTCTCTCTCTCTCTCTCTCTCTCTGCCAGTGTCGAGTTTGAGTAAGGAGAAACAAACATAAAGAAAAATGACAGGATTACAGGCAATTCGATTTAGATTTCCTTATCAAAATCTGTTCCACAGACCACAAAAGAGAATACATGACAGACGATTATAAATATATACCAGAGGCACCCTAAAACTACATGCTGGAATAAGCAGCAACTATTAACCCGTTCAAGCCAAGTCTGCTCCCAATCATACAACAGAGACCATGACAGTCTCGGCCCAACATTAGGCGAATTAAGAGAGCAAAACTTGAAGAAACTAAGATATGAACATGTCCAACTGGCATGCTAGTTTAGCAGTTCCATTAACTAAGAGTTTTACGGCACTCGCAACACAAATAGTTCATTTTAAGTGTCAAAGGTAATAGGTGTTCTTAAAAGTAACATAATATTATAAAGAAAAGAAGGATGAGAGTTAAGGACACTGGATGTTTGATAGCAAATAAGAAGCAAACCACACCAGAGCACTCGCCTACCACCCACTACTAGCATGCAGCCACCCACCATCCGCCCGCTTTGTGGAGTAGAAATTGTATTCCTCATAACTGCTACTGCTGGTCCACATGTTGGTTCTTCGATATCACTCCAGGCACTGGTGACTTGAATCCGGTTGGAAAAGCAAACTTGGGTATCCAAGTGTAAGGCTTGAAGGCGAGAACTGTTCTGCAAACTTGAAAATATCCAATTGTGCAGCTTGAGAAACTGAGAACTATTTCGTAAACAAGGAAATCCAACTGCACAGCTTGAGAAACCGAGAACTGTTCTATTGACTTGGATATATCCAACAATTGTACTGCTTCAAAAACCGAGCACAGTTCCGAGGACTTGGATATTCAATTGGAGAAACCGAGAACTGTCCACAGAAATCGCAAACTTAGAATAGGCCGATACCTCGCATGGAGAGCACTTTAGTGTGTGGACTGAGAACCACATCAACACGATAACGATCATGTAGTACAGGGCGGAAAACCAATAAAGACAAGACAAAGAGATTTTTTTCTTTCATTTTTTAAAAACATTGTTTCGCTTGGATTTCGTACATAATAAAGAAGAAGAAGGGATAAGGACGAAAGAGGTTTGGAAGGAAAGAAGGAGGAAACCACACTATGGCACCCGCAAAACATCCACCTTCGGAGGGGGTGAAAAGAATTAAGACTAACCAATGACCCCCTTTAACCACCCGCAGAGCACTTCAGACAAGAGGTGGCAAGTTTCTATCACATTCAAAAGATGGCAGAGGTTGTTGAATGATGCACTCGTTCTCACCGATTCACTTTGGGACTGGTAAACCGGGTACAAGATCGTGTTGTGAATGGTTAACCGGACACAGTCGTACGGACAATGTATCAAGTACAGTTCTTCTAGACAACAGACGGTTAACTGTTTACCGGTTAAATAGGTTTATTAGACACAGAAAAATATCGATTCACCGAACGGCGAGAAATTGAATACAGTTCTTGAAACCAGTTATCTACTGCTGCCCATCAGAGAGTCTGACTTCTGGCGTGGATCCAGAAACAGCCGAGCATTTCAGGCTGACGGCTGCCTTGCTCGTGGTCGATTCTCATGAAAGTGAGACTAACCAGGCCGACTGGTTATTTTCCAAGAGGAAAAACCGCATGTTTATCAGAGAAATCCAAACTTATGTGACTCAGCTAGCAGCAAAGTACACCAACCATAGACTTTTGTCACCACCTACAGATATTTCTCAACGTTGTTGAGGCTGTTGTTGTTGTTATTGCTGTCATTGTTGTGTTGGTGATGATGTTGTTGTTGTTGTTGCTGTTGTTGTTGTGGTGTTGTTGTTGTCAACGTAATATTCCAGCTGTTAGCCGTCAAATCAAAAATTTTCTCCGTTGTTATTCTAGTTATATTTTAGTGAGGTTTTACGGCGCTCGCAACTGGAAGGTCCTAAGAGCGCCAAAGGTTGGAAGTCAGCAGAGAAATCCAAACGGGGAATCAGGCTTACTCTGCTCACTTATCTAGCCTCAAAAGCACAAAGTCTGCTTCGAGGCACTCCGGACAGTTCAAAAGAGAGTGACAAACATGCCAAAAGAAGTAGAGGAATAATGACGAAAGTAAGATAAGCAAAGAAAAGGCAGCAGTTCACTCTATCTATGTTGTTCCGGCACATTATGGGCATGGCATTGGTAAATCAGCCCATTTTACAATTCTACTGTGCATACATGTTAATGCCCCCCGCCCTCCTTTGGGAACGGTCTAAAGACACTTCAGTCAGTAGCACTACCGGGGGAGGGGGGGGGGGAGAAAGATATTCTAGTTTTGGTAAGAATTTTACGGCACTT